TTTTCTTCCTTTTTCGCCTCGTTCTTCTTCCAATCGGGGTTTTAGCCTACAAAAGTGAAAATTACACAATTATGCATAGAAATATACTCAATATCATTTTTAATTTATTCCAGAAAAGTGTCGAATAAGTGTGTTTTTACACACTTATCAATCATTGCCTGAGAGGTTGGTCAGACAAATTGTTGTCAAACGTATTTACCCGTAACATAGGGATACACTAGATAGATCGCCTGAAACTTTATTCTCCAAGAATTTATATTTGAATTTAGGAATTAAAACTTGAGTCATGATACTTTCAAATTAAAAACTGAACAAAAATTATCAAACTATAAAAAATTTAAACTTCACGGGTTAATGATGTAAATTGACTTTCGAGAGTGTTGCTTTGGAGAATCATATTATCTGGCCATGGATAGCTCAAACTCGTTTAGAAACAACCCATGAGCCGAGTCAAACACCATTCACAAGTGGCTCTTTTCGAGCTCATGGGTCCACAGATTTTATCAATTTATTTTTTTTAAAAAATGAGCTAAATCATGGGCTCCTGAACTATTCGGCCCGACCCACGAGCCAAAGGCTGAATCGAGTTGAACACTTGTGCTTAGTTCGATCTGTATCAAAGGATTGAGTTGACCGAACTTGATTCATTATCACCTCTAATGCAAATCATTTCAGGCGCATCGTATCCTTTTTAAGTCAACAAGTCGAAGAATTTTGGAGTTAGGACAAGAAAGAAAGAATAGAACTTTATTATCGACCACAACGCTGCCACTTGGATAAAGAGTAATGCTACTTGCAGTCGCTCACTGCAACAATCGCCCTATGTGGCACACACATGTCATGTAATTATTTGATGCATTAATGTGGTAGTTTTTGACCACATTTAATGCATTAAATACACAATTGACATGTGTGTGCCAAATAGGTCGACTGCTGCAGTGAGCGACTCCAAGTAGCATTATTCTTGGATAAAATCCTACATTATTAAAAGAGTGAAGGATGTAACCACTATTCTTAAGCACTGTTCATAAGCCGACGGCTTTTTTTTATTATTTTTTTGGCGTTTCCAAACCGAGCCGATAGACTTTTAGTATCGGCTCGGCTAAGCCGCTGAACTGATTTTTTTTCTTTTTTTACGTTTGCTTCAATATTTTAGGTTCTAAATATGCATTCTAAGCGATTTAATTTTGTTTTGAAATGTTGAAGTGCGGTCATCCTAAATATATGGTCGACTCGGCCAAGCTTTTTTTTTTTAATTACGTTTGATTTT